CGCCTCATATGCATATGAAAGCTGGACAGTGACTAAGGAAGACCAAAGAAGAATTAGTACCTTTAAATTACAGTGTTGATAAAGAATATTGAATATACTGTGGACTGCCGGAAGAATGAACAAATCTATCTTGGAAGAAGTACAGCCAGAATGCTCATTAGAAACAAAGATGGTGAGCCTTTGTCTCACGTACTTTGGACATGTTATCAGGAGGGACCAGTCCCTGGAGAAGGACATCATGCTTGGTAAGGTAGAGGGTCAGTGAAAAAGAAGACGACATTCAACAAGATGGATTGACACGGTGGCTGCAACAATGAGCTCAAGGATAACAACAATTGTGAGGATGGCGCAGGATGGGGCAGTGTTTTGTTCTGTGGTACATAGGGTCACTATGAGTTGGAACCGACTCAACAGCACTTAACAACAACAACTTCTATTAATAAGCTATCGGACACCCCTGGGTCATGAGTGTGACACCTATCACAGATGCGACAGGAGAGATGATTTGAGTCTTGGGAGAGGACTCCTGTGTCCATAGCAGGAGCCATAAGAGCTAGAGGGGACACAGTATTTGAGTTGCCCAGACAAAATACAGCCATGTGGTGGGCTGCTTTAATGTAGTTCCCCCACCAATGTTTTTCTAAATGGATGACTAGATTTTCTAATCCTAAATGGTCATTTAAATATCAGTATCGGATTACAAGGGGGTGTAATGATTGAGGAAGAACAACTTAATTGTCTGGCCTGAGCAATAAATTGGGGGTTGGATCTAGTGTACAGTCTGAGTCTTTCCAAATATGTACTTCTGATTCAGAGACCAGGATTTGATAAATATGTGAAAATTTTAAGATATCTTCCTCTTTGTCTTTTATCTGAATTTGAGGTGAATGGGTAATGGGCATTTGAGAGGCTGCCCATATGGCAGCATGATTAGTCAAATCATTGCCTTTGATCTCTTCAGTCTGGAGAATTCCAGGAGGCTGATGGGCCTGCACTTTGATTACAATAATCTCAGAAGGGAGCAGAATGGCTCCTAGGAGGTCTGCCACTAATGGGCCATTTTTTATTTTGCTTCCAGAGGAGATTAAAAATCCTGTTCCTGAAGCATACTAAATCATGTGTAACCCCCAAAAACATACCTCGAATCTGAAAAAATTTTTACCAACCATCCATCAGCCAATATGCAAGCCCAGTTCAGTTTGTTTTGCTGAGGTAACCTCAGGGAGCAGACAACTTGACAAAATTTCAATGGAGGTGGTGACAGTGTATCATCCCTGGTAATGGTAACTAGTAGGGTCTAGTTTAAGATAAGATCCATCAACAAAGAAAACTAGGTTAGGAAGCGAGGCCTCCAGTAAATTAGTCCTGGGAGATAAATGTTGCTCAGTGAGATCTAGACAATCGTGAGGTGGTTCATCCCTATAAGGCGAAGGCAACACCATGGCTGGACTCAAAGAATATACAATATGCAGCCAAGTGTTAGAGGCTGCCAGTAGGAGAACCTCATAAGAAGTCATTCTGCTAGTGGAGAGAAGTTGAGTTAAAGTTGAATTCAAAGTGGCTATCACTGCATGAGGGAAATAAACATCTAGGAAATTTCCTAAAACAATATCCGATATAGTCTCCACCAGCCTGGCAGTGGCAGTGATAGCACTGAGACTGGGGGAGTAAACTCTTGTAACAGGATCAGGTTGGTTACTGTAATACCCAGTGAGTCTCTGCTGTCCTCCATGTTTCTGGGGAGGACTACTTAAGCATTTCCTGAAATGTCATGAACAAAACATGAAAAATCTAACTTATAATTTGGAAACCTGAAGGCAGGGTTGTGAACTAAAGTCTCTTTTAGTGATGTGATGGCATTTTGGTCATCTTCAGAAAGATGAAAGGAATCAAGCTTTGAACATTTTAGGTAATGATAGAGAGGTGCACCAGTAAAAGAAAAAAAAATAGGCATCCAGGTTTGGCAATAACCGTAGAGTTCTAAGAAACTCCGTAATTGCTTTTTTTGTAGTAGAGACAGGGTAGGCTAAAATAGCCTTTCTTTTTTGGATCTGTGGTAATCCTTTCTTTTTGAGATAATATACCCTAGATATTTAACAGAAGGTTGGGATAATTGTAATTTTTCTTTAGAGGCCTTGTGACCCCCTCTGGCCAAATGCTGTTATAACAAGATGCTGTCTGTAAGGCAAGCTTGCTGGGAATTAGAGCAGACAAACAAGTCACCCACATGTTGGAGTAATGCAGACCCCTGAGTAATCTGTAGGGGCTGCAGATCAGCATGTAAAATCTGAGAGAAATAAGTAGGGGATTCAGTGAAACCTTGAGGCATCACAGTCAAGGTGAATTTTTTGTCTCCTCAAATGAAAGAAAACAAATATTGGCTTTCCAGTTGGACTGAAATATTAAAAAATGTGCGCAAGCATCAACCGCTGTAAAATGAGTGGCCTCGGGGGGCACATTTGAGAGCAGTAAATGAGGTTTAGGGACTACTGGGAGTATAGGGATCACAATATAGTTAATGGCTTGTAAATCTTGTATAGATCTCCAGCCCCAACCACTAGGTTTTCTTACCGGGAAAACAGGAATATTACAGGGGATGGTGCAGGATATAATCAAACCTTTTGTCAGGAAGTCTTATATGATAGAAGTTAGTCCTTCCTTGGTCTCGCATTTTAATGGGTATTGAGAGACTTTGGGTAAGGGTTTAGTGGAGTCCATCTGAATCTTCAGAGGTTCAGCTGACAGGACACAGCCAACATCAGTAGATGTTGCGGCCCGCAGGCTTCCTGGTACAGTTGAAAGAGAATCCCCTGCAGCAGCTAACATTGTATAGCAGTGGGATTGAGGATCTAATTCAAGTGCTTGTATGTAACAAAGGGCTTCCTCCATAGGGCAGAAGTCAGATTGGTTACCATTCTCTTCATTAGGATCAGGGAGTTCCAGTGTGACTTCACCTGTTTCTGAAAACTTTAGGTGGCATTTCCATTTAGAGAAAAGATTCCTGTCCAGCAGATTTACTAGAGTGTCAGGGCTCAATAGGAAATCATGTATATCCTCTGTGGGCCCCAAAGAAATAGCAGCACGTAGGGAATAAGACAATATTTTTTCTCTGTTGGTAACCTCCACGATTCGGAATGTCTTTTTACTCCAGCTTAGAGGGTTTAGAGCAGAAAGCATCAAACCAGTGTCGATTAAGACTTTGGAAGGTTCTCCATTAAAGAAAACAGTTGTTTCACCTTGAGGATTTAAAGGTACCGCAGGAAAAGCCTCTGTTTTGTCCCTGGAGCCCCTTCGTGCCAACGGAGATGAAGGTGTAGGTCCCGGTTAGAAGTCTATATTTGTTTTTTTTTTTACTTAAGACACTCTCTTTTAAGATATCTTGGCCTATTGCAGTAAAAGAAAACATCAGTTCCTGCCTCTATTAATTAAGGACTTCTTTTCAGTAAGGGGGCCTTGTCTCTCGGCTAAGTCTGCAGTTGCTACAACTGCAAGGCCATTAATCTTTTTGTTTTAGCAGTTTCTTTAGTCTCAAGAGTTTGGGCTAATTCATGAGCCAGTCGAGTAAGTTCTGATACAGGGGTAAATTTCCAGGCCAAACTGTATCTTTATACCAGAGCTAAAAGCTCTGGGTTAAGGCCAGAATAAATGCTGCATTAAAGGCCCCTGTAGCCCCAGGAGTCTCCAGGTCTAATCCAGAGTGTTCAACAAACTTCTGGTATAACTCTATTCTGGTAATCACAAACAGCCTCGTCCTTCTATTGAACTCAAGAATGAATTTTGGTCTAATCTACTACAGGAGGAAAAGCCTCCTTAAAGGCATCATGTTCAAGACCAAAATGAGACAAGGGGAAAAATACAGGATGAATAGACATCGTATACAATTCTGTATTTCTCTGGTTTGCTTCATCCAACTGTGCTAGTGTACTTTGCATTCAGCTGCTATTATTTGGTAGTTGTAGTGGACACTATTGGTGCCTAAGCCAGATTTCCTTTATTAGCTGGTTTACTCATGCCCAGCTGCTATGAGTGTTGTTTGCCAATGCACAACTGACCCCTTCTCCAGGGAATTGCCCTTATATAGTAGCCATGATGAACGCGATGAAGATGATGATGGTGGTAATATATCACTTCCTGCTCAGAAACTTCTAATTCTTTCCATTACATACTTAATGATATTTTAGAGGTACACAACTTGGGTCAAACTTACCTTTTTTACTTATTTTCCCACTGCTGCACCAGATTAAATTGTTTTTAAATTTTTAAATTTAAAATTAAATTATTGGTAGATTGTTTTTCTACCAACTTAAAATTCCTTCTAATTTTTTCCCATCTGTCAAAATTCTAATTGCTTTCAAGGACTCATTTTATCTCTTCTAATATGCATTCTCTAAGTATGTCAACATAATGGACTCCTATATAAAAGTAAGATTTGCCATACTTTTAGTATCGGATTTCAGTGGTATCTCAACTCTGTCAAATACTTGAAGAAGAGCAGTTTACACATGTACTTCAAGTAATAATCAGTGTGTTTGAATATTGTTTATCTCTTATAGACATAACTATAAACTTTTAAGAACTTTTTGTGAAATTAATTTGAATATCTATAATTTTTGAGAAGTATTAGAAGTATTTCTAGGTCATTGAAGAGATAAAAGTATATTTTTAGAATAAACTTGGTTTTATTGAAGATAAGGGTATATAAAAGTTTTACTCTATATGTAAGTGTATATAAAATATTTACTCTGTATGTTAGGGTATATAAGTCTTACTCTACCCAGCATACTACCTTGGCTATAGTAGCCATCCAAATATTTGTCATTCTTTTTTGATTTATGTGTTTGCAACATATTATTTTGTCTTAGTATTATATATATGTTATGATTTGCATTTAATATATTAAAAGCTTTTCAACTTTACCAACTTCTTTTTTTTTTAGTAAAGTACAAAATACACAAAGAGTTTAGTGTAGATAACTTCAATTTTAATCTTTCCACCTTTAGACTATCGACACAATGGTCGAGATCTTCAGAGCTCAACATTATCAGTGCCGGAACAAGTAATGTCATCAAACCATTGTTCACCATCAGGGTCTCCCCACCGAGTAGATGTAATAGGAAGAACTAGATCATGGTCACCCAGTGTCCCTCCTCCACAAAGGTAAGATATCATGTAATTTTGTGTGTAGAATTGTACTACAGGTCTGTTTACTGTAAACTATCATTAAAGGTCTCTAAAGATAGTAAATTCTTGTTGGGAAATTAAGGAAAAACAAAAATCCTATTCAATAACCTGGGTAATGAGAATAATATCAAAAATGGATTGCTTTGTAAATTTGGATGCTTTACATATTAATTTACTGTGATAGTTTAAAATTTAATATTTAATAGGATATTAAATATTAATATTAAATAGTTTAATATTGAGAGAAACCAGGTTTTAATCATATATTAATATTGAGCATATCTGGTTAGAACCAGCTAATTATAATCACTGGTAATACAGATATTGATCATTTAAGAAATAGAAAACCATACACACCTAATGGGTCTTTAAAGTTTGAAATAATCATCAGAAGACTAGAAAGATTGATGGACAGTGAGAAGAATGGCTTGGAAAGTCTGCAGCTCCAGGTCTTATGCCTGGTGGAAATTTCTGATCAACATAGTTGTAGAGAGGCTTAGTGGAGTAAAAACCATGGAAATAATATAATGGAGCTAACAAGAAATATGTGCGTAATTCACATTTTATGTATAGGCAGTCCCCGAGTCACAAATGTCTGCCTTACGGACGACTCATACTTGCCGTTTAATATCGTGTAAATTTGCCCTCACTTTGAAACAATTGAACCAGCCCCTACTTGGAATAAATTCTTCATCACAATCACCTTCACTTGCTGCACCTGCAGCTTTTAAATCATTGAAAAGGCTTCCAGCCTTTTATTGCACCAAAGTAAAGCTAAATAAGAACCATGTACACCTGTTCTAACTTACCTACAAATTCGACTTAAAGGCACAGTTAGGAATGGATCTCATTCATAACTTGGGGACTGCCTATACTTGCAGTATTTAAGAAAATTTGGACTGTTTTGAGTGACAAACTTACAATTCCTGTTTTAAGTGAATAATTTATTTTGTTTTAGACTTAGAAGTTGTAATTGTAAGTTTACTAACTTCATACATGGCTAAGAGAACTTTAGATTTATTGTGTGTATATTTGATTTATAAGAATTATTAAGTACTTGGAAAAAAAAACCAAACCCATTGCTGTCGAGTCAATTTCGATTCAGAGTATACTTAATTCAGACAATTGAAGAAATTAAAAAGAAAATCTATTATTAAGTTTATAGACATAGCTTAAAAAGTTTGAAGATATTGAATTAACTAAGTTTGGAAATGGGGCCAGAGTTATTCAGTCTTCTGACGCATGATTGCTAAAATGTTATAAACATAATCTGAAATTTAAAGTTTAAGAAATACTAGGTTTTGAATTTGTAATTTTAGTAAATTAAACCCTTGCCCATTAAAAAAATAAAGAATGCACGACTTCTAAATCAGGGAAAGAAAATTTGAACACTTCTACAGTGATAGGCATAGGTTTTAGATTAGATTCAAGTGCATATAATTGCCATATAACAGGAGCTGAAACATAAAAAATTTATTCTGTCATTAAAATGAAGTGTGGAAGTAGGCAATCCAGGGCAGAATGGTAGCTCAAAGAAATCATCATTTATCAATTGTGGAGACTTCTGTTTGGATCTTAAAAAGCAGTCAACAATCATCATCCCCCAAACAAGATCCACTAATATGTTGTTTAAAAACAACATACTTAAATGCAAAAAAATACAGAGTATAAAACCAGAGGCATGAAAAAATATAATAGTTATATATAAACCAGAAGAAAAATGGGATCACAATTTCAATTGGTAAGTATTTGAATTCAGTGTCAATAATGTCATAAAGACCAAATAAAGATATTTTATTCTGGAAAAAAAAGAACACTAAATTTAGAAGGTAAATCAGTACCACCACTTTGAATTAATACAGTTTGTGCTTTGCCCAAAGGAATTTGAACAAGATATGATTATCTACATAGAAAATCCAATATAATCAATATACCATTAGAATTAACATGGAAGTTTTGCAAAATTATTGGCCATATGGTCAACTTTTAAAATGAATAATAAAGAATTAGAAAATATAATAGGACACAAAGCACTATTCCCGAAAGCAACACAAAGTATAAAATATCTAGCAACTGATCTTATTAAAAATTCACATGATCTTTATAGAGTAAATGTAAAACTTTATGTAAGGAGTAAATGAGAGATATGCCATATTTGTGGGTAGAATTACTCCATATAATAAAGATACCAATTCTCCCCAAATTAACCTGTAAGTTTAATGCTATATCAAAATTCTATCTGAGATTTTTATAAACTTGACAATATTATTCTAGAATTTATATGGAAGGATAAAAGTACATGAATAATTAAATTTGTTTTGAAAAAGAAGGCATAAATTTACCACCAAGTCATTGTAATTAAGAGCAGAATGGAACTTGAACAGTAGCAGCAAAATAGACCTATTGAACAGGCTAGTAAGCACAATATAAATATAATTATAGTTATATGGAACTTGATGTATGATAACTGTGGCACCACAAATTAATGTGGAAAGGATGGATTGAAAAGGATAGAAAGATTAGCTCATCATATGGAATAAAATTAAAAACTAGATTCCTACCTTACATTTTATAACATGCCATGCCATAATCTTTCTTATGTTTTAATGGGCCACTGTTTATGGTGGTGGATGGGAGTAAAAGTTGAAGCAAGAGACTACTTAGGTAGCTATTGCTACAGTATAGGCAGGAGGATGGTAGTTTGGACTAGGGTGCTGACAGGGGAGATGGTGAGAAGTGACAGATTGAGTTATTCTCCTGAGCTCTGAATTTATGTCCAGCCACCTATGAGGCATCTCTACCTCTGTCGCTCTAGGCCATGTAAACAAACATGTCTAACACTGAACTCACTTTCTCCACACAAATCTAGTCTTCCATATATCATTGAATATCACTACCTCTGCCCAAGCTTGAGACCTGGAAGTCATCCATTAATATGTTTGATGATGTTCCTTATCTCTTTCCCCACTGACGTTAGATTACTTTGGACTCGCTGTATGTCTTTTCTCTGTTATAGCCACTTAACACTATCCCAGCTTAACTCTGAGCCTCCAGTTGAAATTGATACCTATTTACCTAGGGGTGAAATTAGTAAAAACAAAAAACTTGTACTTGGCATTACAATGACTTTATCTTTTTCTAGTATCTTTATCATATTAATAAACCTCATTTATTAATGTAATATATGGTTTTGATTCACTAAGATATTTAGTAAATCTTGCTATTTCAGTCGGAATGTGGAACAGGGACTTCGAGGGACACGCTCTTCTACCGGACATTATAATACAATTAGCCGAATGGATAGACATCGTGTCGTGGATGAGCATTATTCTCCAGAGAGAGACAGGTAAATATGATTAAATACTATTAGACCCTATTATAATCACTGCCTTCAGAAGGTGTTACCATAAAATATTTTCATCCTGAACGTGGGCATTCCTTGATCTGAGTTTCTGAAACCACATTTTTCCTTTACACTGACCACATTCATAAAAAAAAAAAAAAGCAACTTTTTTATTTTGGTAAGAAAAAAACAAAATCATCTTGTTTGCAATTTGGGTCCTTGGTTAAATAAAACCAATTAAGTTAGTGAACTTGCGCGTGGAGTTATAATAATAATTATAATGGAAACAAGACGTTTCAATTTTCTTACCTTATCATAACCAATTATTACACACACACATGTGCACACACACATATACTTTCATGAGGCAATAAATTTAAAAGTCTTTTATGTTTATCAGGGAATCAGTGTGACTATATACTATATATGTATATTGAGAACAGAGTGTGGTTTGTTTAGCAATTAGTTTGCCATGATTCATCAAGAGGTTTTTCCTCGTGGCTTTTAGTAAACTTTTTATCCTGTATTTAGAAGAATTCGCTGAATTTGTTCTATTAAGTGTGACAAGCCTGAAAGTAACATGGTATGTAACAATGCTTCCATTAATTACTACTATTATTTTTAAATTAGGCAAATCGATGAACCCTTCTAATTTATGCTGCCATACGTAAAATGAATACTATTATATTGTTCCCAAACTATAAAATGAGTTTAAGATAAGGATTAAGAAAGAAAACTGAATTTACTATTCAGAGAATATTATAATAAAATAATGAGGGAACTCAGAAGTCTCTTTGTATCCATCCTAAACCAATTTTAGGAAAACATTTGGAGGTTTTTAAATCAACTGATAGAGAAGTTGCTTTTAATATTTATAAATTTAATTGTTCTCTCTAAAGCCAGGGTTGTTTTCAGTTCATTGTGTTTCAGTACATTTCTCCAAAAAAAGTCTAAGAAGTTAGTCTTCAACAGTGTCAAACAAGTATTGACTTTTTGTGCCTGACATTTAAGAAGAAATTAGAAGACACTAAATTCATATCAATATTAGTGTCAAGTGAAAGTTAATGTATTTTATTTCTTTTCAGTTTGTTTCATTATTTCATAGTGACCTGTGTCTTTAGAGTTAATTATAGACATGCTACCTGTAGAAATTGATGCTTGTGAAGTACAATAATAGTGAAAGGATAACTGTTGGCATGATTAGGAGTTTGGAAGGAGTCACATTAGGGTGGTTGAGTGGGTATTTTAGTTACTACTATGATTCTAATGAGCTTGATCATTTCTGGAAATTATTTATATAGCAAGTTGAAAACTCTCTTCATTGAAGGTTTGATAATGAAAATGGTGAGAGAGGAAATCTCTGAAATGACTTAGGTCCTTCAAGTTTATGTAAACTGTTTATTTTAATAGAAAATAGACTTTGATATTTTCTTTGAAAGCAAGGTAATATGGCCTCATGTCTGAGACAACAGAATAAAATTAATCTCACTCCTTAAAATTTTACACTTTAAACTTAGACTTACGAACAAAAATATTCGCTATAACAGGAAACACGTGATCTTTTATCAGTATTTTAAGTCAAAAGGCCCAAGGATTGATGGCAACAAAATTTGCTGTTAAAGCCTTGATGACTCATCTTGGTATTAGCTGATGCAGTCCTTAACTGAAATATGTCATTATATTTTTCTTGTTTATTTTATGATTCCATGAACCTTTTGCTTAGCAAAATCTTCAAGTAATTATCTTTCGAAGTTTTGGGACTATTCAGCCACATGATTTCCTTACTTTTGTAGAGTGATATAGATTTCCAGATCATAAATAATTACTCTTAATTGTGACCTGCCTTAATTTTTTTTTTTTTTTGGAATAAGTAAAATAAAATCATATTTAAATAGTAATATAAATCCATTTCTTATATATTATTTTTAAATGATCTGCTATAATTATTTATTAACATAAGGACTGAAAAAATTTAAAAGCACAGTATGATCCATTGAGGTAGTCTATCACATTATTAAACAATGGGTCCTTGATTTTTGTGTTATGCTAATATTCCAAAAGGTTTTCAATAATAGAATTCATCTAAAGACACTGTAAAATTTTTGTACTATTTAGAAGATAAGGATGTTCTAAAACTCTGACAGTGAATTCTACTGAACAGCATTTTATAGAGTCAATACAGTTGATTGCAAATCTAAAAGAGAGTTTCCTTTGATATGTAAGTATAATTTAGGTATTTTGAAAGGTGTTATTAAACTTTCTTGTCAGTAAGAAGTGGATGCACTGGGTTAGAATACTATTTTATTGAATATGCTCTTTTTCAGTAACGTAGGCTTCAGAGCCAGATGGCCTGGGGTTTGAATCTGGATTTCACCATTTTCTAGCGGTGTATCTTTGGGAAAATTAACCTCTTTGACACTTGATTTCCTTATCTATAAAGTTAGAATATTAATGCCAACTTTATGAGGTTGTTTTGTGGATTAAATGACACTACCTCCAGTTGCATAGTATGTACTCAGAAAATATGCCTTACCTTTAACATTTTAAAAGGATCTTTTGGTTTGCAAATAATTCACATTTTAATGTGCTTACCAAGTAAGTAGAAAAACAGAGAAATCAGTTAATTCAGGTAACTTTGTAGAGAATGTAGCACATGAGTTGGACCTTGAAAAATGGGCATGTTTGTTCAGGCAAGAACAAGAGCAGAGATAGACAGAACACACCTATACATCACAAAGGCCCAGTACAAAGACTGAAGGATTTGGGGACATTTTGGGAAGTTGTGCATGAAGACAATGGCTTTTACTTTGGCTATATTGGGTGAGAAATGATGTTATTTGATATTAATTTATAGTACCTGATTAAATTTAAGTGGTGTAAGGAGGCAATACAATATTCATGTCCTTTTCTTATAGGTACTATAAAAAGAATTATGTATCAAAATTTAACTGGATCTTTGTTCCTTTGCACATCTCACTTCATTATCCATTAGTCAAAATCCTGTTTTGCGTTGGAAAGGAAACAACTTCATTACAAGTAATTCAGAAATCTAGATGTAGAGATATATAGCCAGTATAATGAATTCCAATGGACATCGCTCTTTTCCTCCCCCTACTTCCACTTTTTGTACCAATTTTTCTCTGGTAGATCCTGGTAACTGCTACAACTAGAGGCATCCTTCACCTTGTCCAGACTATGTGGCTTTAATGTTAGAAATCATTCCGACAGATTTTCATTTACATAAGTTAATTTAATATTATAATAGTATTTCCATCACATCTCAGAGATATCCTGAAACATGCATTTTTATGTCTTTATCCCAGAGGCCAAAATATATTGGGTGCGATTAATTTCATGGAGTATACTTTTAGCATATTAAGAAAAAAATATAATTAATGCTGGAAGAAGATATATTTCTTTATAAACTCTTTTCTGTGCATTTAATTGATATATTCTAAAGGCAGAATGTTCCATTATCTGGACTTCTGTGGTATTTTACACACTTATGCGCTTTCTCTACTGTTTATCAGGTAACCATCCATCCAAAATTGTAAAACATACTCATATCTATTTCATGAAAAGGATTCATCTGTTTGACCCATTCAGCTATCAACTCTGAGGGAAACACATCTCTGAAATGTTAAAATTATACAGAAAGTAAATTTTAAAAGAAGGTTTATGTTACAAAACAATACATTTGATTACATTTCAGGGGCATATTTTAAGATAGTTAAATCACTCCAAGTATTTTTGAGGAACTGCTTAGTCAACATAACATTAACAATATTGAAGACATGGAACAGAAAGATTTGTATTAATTTAGGGTTGGAAGCTTAGCTTTTGGAAACTACAGGTTTGCTTAAGGATGGGATATTTTATATTTGGAATTTCCTAAAAGGAACATTCAGAATAAATACAATGTAAAGAATAATTCATTATAAATATCATTTTGTGTTGTCTTTAAAGGTTATATTATCTAATAAGAATTAAAGCATATCTAGAAAGTGGATTGGTAATCTAGTTTGGTTTTTTAATAATATTTTATCATTCTTAGAATCTGGAACTTCTTTATTTCATTTTTTAACATTTATTTTTAATTTTTTAAATTTTAATACCTTTGTTAGTTTTCTGTTTTTTTACAGTGAATTACTGGTCAATTTTTAAAATATTTGAGACAGAGTGGATTAAATGTAATTTTAAAATATAACTTACTTATTTGTTTAACTCAACACAATCCATTGCTCAGACTACAGTGTTTGTTAATTTTAGAAGAAAAATAAACATGGTTTAATGGAGAAGTGTGTAATATTTTTAAGCTGTATTAAGTGGATGTAGCAAACAACCTTGGATGCATCTGTGGACTTTGGCTGGATTTCAGAGGTGTATGCCTTGCTGAAATAGTATGGTTAATTTGTGTAATATTCATATATACTTTATATACTTTATATTCATATATACTTTTCATACTTGGGGAATCATAAACAAATAAGGTTAAGAACCATAACATGACTATAGAGATTGGTGAGGGAAATAAAACTGATAATTGATGAAGATGATTCTTGCTTAATATTTTCTTTGGCTTTATAGGGACAAAATTAATTATAAGCCTCTTCCATGAAAAATTAGAAATTAAGTGATGATACATTCTATGAATTTGTAAGTTTTCACAAGCTCTGAAATTTGCACATTTTCTGTTACTCTTAAGTAATTTTCAAGAAATAAGTTTCTTTTTTAAGCAACAAATTCCAACATCACAACTGTTTGGTATTATTTCCACTCTTTGTAAAGCCAAGAATGACATTTTTGGTACTCTGTTTCCTTAATTGCTTATACTACATAGGCTTATAATCTTCTGTGATTTACATATCTAGAATGCCTCTATGATTATGTGAACCACTGCTCTCTTTGGAAAGTAGATTCATCATGAAATTGGTATAATTCTTTTTTTTTCTTTTTAGTTCAACTCAAAATATATTTATTGAGTGTGTCACCCATTGTGCACAAAGATTTTTAAAATGGTATTATTCTGGCCTAGATATATAGATGATCATATACCAACTAGTTATAAAATACAGAAGGGCAGAAGTTTAATATTATTTGAACAGATTGGAGAGAAATTTACTTTTTTGGGTGTATTCAAGGCTCCAAAGACAAGTTAGACTTTAAAGATTGAGTAGGATTTTGAGAGGCAAGAATGTGGAGAAAGGGGGTAATAGACATTCTTGGAAGAGTAATGAGCTTGAACAAAGTCTTGAAATCAAGAAAGTATGTGATGCATTTAGAGAGTCTGATTTATTCTGGAGTGCTTAGATAGAAGGCTGTGATATGGGAGATGGGAAGTGATAGGAGATGAAGATTGACATTAGATTGGAACCTAATTTGAATATCATTTTAAGGAATTTATACCTATGTTTTTTAAAATAGGGAGCTATTAAAGATTTTGAGCAATGTACCTACATGATCAGAGACATAATTTGCAAATATACTTCTGTAGACAGGGTGCAGAATGGATTGGGTCAGGAGAGGACTAGGATCTGAAGGTAGGGAAACCTAACAGAAGGTTATTTCAATAGATATGGTAAAACATGATGATGGCCTGATACAAGGTAGTGACAGGAGAAAAGGAAAAGAAGGGACAAATTTGAGTTATTTATGAATTAGAACCAGCAAAGATTATAAATTAATTTTATGTAGAAAATAAGATAAATGGAGGAGTTAAAAAAAATTCTGAGATTTTTAATCTTGGTTTATTAAGTCATTAGTTGAAACTGGGATTATAAGAAGAGGAATAGTTGAAGTTCCACAAGGGGTTAAATAAGTATAGAAGGGACATTAAAAAAACCCATTCCCATCAAGTCGATTCTGACTCATAGTAACCCTATAGGACAAGATAGAACTGCCCCATAGGGTTTCCAAAGTTGTAATCTTTATGGAAGCAAACTGCCACATCTTTTTCCCAAGGAGTGGCAGGTGGATTCAAACCGCCAACCTTTCTGTAGTAGCTGAGCACTTAATCACTGCACTGCCTGGGCTCCTGAAGGGACATTAAACCAAAAAAACAACAACCATTGCCGTCGAGTTGATTCTGAAGGTGAGAGAGATGATGTCCTGAGAGAAAAAGCAAGCTTAGCGAAGATTTTATTTTTAAGAGTAAGTGCAGTTGAAGAAGGGAAAGCAAGACAGAATAATGAATGAAGCAAGATCATATGGAATGAAGCAAGGTTATGTGGGAAGCAGGATTACAAGTAGAGCATTTCTTCCTTTGATGGGGAAGAAAAGAGCAAGTGAAGACTTAAGTATATATTTACTCAGTATTTAGAGGTAGAAATGTGGAAGTAACAGAGTTCCAGGTTGGTTTTCATTTTTAATGAAACAGTGATTATTTGCCTAAATTAAGTGTTTTGTTATTAAAGGTTTTAAGAAAGTAGAAAATGTTCAATTAGTTAAAGTAAATACTGTATAATGTAAGTACAAATTAGTGCTATTGAAAGGAGAAAATGAGCTGTAAGTGGGCAAAGGTCTGTGTGCTGCATTGATGGATTATGGTAGTCATGAGGCATGAAATGTAGCAGAGCCAGCAGCATGCAGTGTAATAAACGTAGTGAATGATAAAATGTATTGCATCTGATAGAATTAAGAATAAAATTAATAACCTGTTAAAAAACAATTTGTATCAGTTTGTTCTTTATTCAATGGAAATTTTAAAATCTCTTGCAGTAATTTTTCATTGTTAATGATTGAAAGAGAAAGGTTTACCTCATAATGTTTTATAATTATTATAAGTATTAGAATTTACCTCTTTTATTATTTCTTTCTTAAACATTTTGGTTATTCTGTTATTTTTCTCCTCTCACCTTTCCTCCTAATAATGGGAAACAATCTCTATCATATAACATTTTCCAGATGGTGCTGAAGATGTTTGAGTGATAATTGAAGAGATTTTATTTTGAAATATGATTTTTTAAAATCTCAATTGGTTGTATTTTTTGTTGTATTTTATTTTAGAGTATGTTAACCCTTAGCACTGCCATATTATAATGGACATTGAGAGGAGGAGGCAAGCTTTTCAGTAACAATTTTCATTTGCTTTGCTTACTATCTACTTATCTATTTTGAATCTCACCTTTTAAAATTAAGCTATACCTTTTTCATTTCTTTCCTGAATCTCATTTATATTCTTGTTTCTGCCACGCTTGCAGTCATTTTCTTACTCTACCTCGCTCCAGATACAGGCAGACCATTGAGCATCATCACAGGGATGGCAGGTATATTTTTCTTACAATTGAGTCTGTAGAGTTGCATGTGCCTGTCTACTGATGTGATACAATCCACTTACATTTCTGTTACGTGTGTATATGTATGTGTATATATATATATATATATATATATGTATATATATATAAATAGAATATAGAAATATTACCCTTATAAAAAGTAGGAAGTAAAACATATATAAACACTTTAATTGTAATAAAATGTTAAAAATACAGCTTTTCTTTGATGAGTTAGTGCTATCCAAGAGAATTAGTTCACCAATATTTATATTAACTCCTGATTATCTAGAGGATAGAGTAATAGTAAAATTAAAATTAGCCATAGTTAACTTCCCACCATCCTCTGCAGAGTTCGTAATCAGATAATTAGACAGCAGTGATTGGTTTGTACTTCCGCTTACCCCCTTCCTCTCCCCGCCAGGAGGGGAGTCAGTCAATGAAGTGCTTAGGTTGTACTGATTGGACTGTGGTTGCCTTGTCAAAGATGGCTGCAATCTACTCCTTGGTCATAGTAGATGACCCTGGGTTTGTGGAGAATCCTGGGTCTATGGGGAAATCCTTATTCATTTCTATCCTACCACCACTCCTCTTTTCAAAGTGAGGATTTGCACTGAATCATAGTACAGCTCCAATACTCTGAGGAAATATAATTTATATTGGAGGGAAATATCAACCACCTGGCATTTAGCAGAAGGGGGAGTTGACTAGAAAGAGAAGAGAAAGAAAGTCTCTGAACTCCGCAATGTTCTCGACACTATATGTATCTTAAGGATTTGAACTAGATAAATGACATAATTTTGTGGCTTTTTGTGCAGAGAAGAAAATGGCAATGATAATGTGGTGGTGGCTTCAGCTAGTATAGATAACAAATATATGTGCCTTACTTAATCACCCAGACTGCTTTTGTTTCATAGTGGTTTGGAGTTATCTGTGACCCCCTTTATCCCCATTAATTTAATTAATGAAGAGTTGATAATAAAAGAGTTTAGAAAAAATAATTGAAAACTAATGCTTAAATTCTAAGAATCGAATTCATGTGGATAAATGTGGGAGCAAGGGTAAGAGAGCACATCAACAATAAGTTCCTAATAAGCCATGTTTTTTATGTCTTTCAGTGAATGGAATTGAAATTTAGTGTCTTCCAGTTTAATTATTTGACAGTGATTTTTTAATATTTAATTTTGTTTTGCATTTTCTCAGTCTGTTTTGTCATTTTTGCTTCAATTCTAAGTAATTCTTTATTTTTTGTTTTGTCTTCTATTTTTATTGTTGCTGTGTATTACATTCAGATTCTGTGTATTTTTTGTTTGAGTGATTACATATTTAGCTTCCAAAAAATGTGAAAAAGTAGTTAGATAACTATATCCTGATAGTTGGCTATGACTTTTCTCAGGGTGTGTACCATGAATGTGACATTATTGATTATAGGCTTATTCCACCTACTTTTGTATCTCTTCATTTCAATGAAAGTTAAAAGCATATACTCATTACCATTTTTTTTTTTTTTGGCATAAGGACTGTATTTTTTTTTAGTACATTCAAGGCTCAGTTATCAATAAATAGATTGTCTGCTTCACTTTATTCTTTCAGTTCACCAACATAAATGGAATCAATTCTTATCAGCTCTAAGTTGGTTGTCAGTTTCATATGCTTACCCAATTTTCAGCCTTAGCCTAAATGACCAATTTTGAAGGAGACATTTCTGAATTGTCTTTCTGTACCAGCGTTTGGGTTGTGGTCAGGAAACACACGATCATTAATGTTTATATTAAAACACAGGAAAGTCAGTTTCAGAAAACAAGTTATCAGATATCTTACTGTAAGATTTGCTATCACTTAAATGATTCCAATTTGTGTATCTAGTGTTCACCTCCCTCTAAACAATTTGAGAAGATTTTATAAGAATAAAGTTCTTTAATTATTTTTAAAATATATTATCTTTAATCATTATGGCTTGGCTGCATACAAAAGAATTTTGTAAGTTATAGTGTAAGAATAAAATGAACAGCCATGAATCTAGTACCCAAATCGAGAACCAGAACACCTGGTTATAAACCTTGCATCTACATGTACACTCCTTGCCTACTGCATCCTATGCCTTTTCCACAGAAGTAGTGAACACTAGACTGAATTTTAAGTTTAACGTTTCCTTCCCTTGCTTTTTTAAAAAATGATTTGACCCTTTGTTTTTTCACTCTCTCCCTCTCCCCTAGCAAGGGAGTCAGTGCTTAGGTTGTACTGATTGGACTGTAGTTACCTTGTCAGAGATGGCTATGAGCTACTCCTTGGTCATAGTAGATAACTCTGGATTTGTGGAGAATTTCACATTTCCATTTCACTCAGTCCTTTGATCCCCCCACTCAATCCACTATGAGATTCTGGGACTGATTTTCTTTTTTTTTTAGCATCTATTGAAGATATAACAGTTTGTCTAGTCATCTGTCCATTCTCCTGTTATTTATTTCCATAAAGTTCTCTGAATCCCACCCTTAATTTAACTCCTGTTCCTTTGTATCTAATGCCACTAAGTAAAATCACCTGTTACCCTTCCACGTTATTGTCATCTGTTGACCTTTTGGTTATTTACTCACTTATGTATTCACTGAATATTTTAAAACCTGGCTTAATCTTCCTGTTCATTCTAATTCCTTCTATCAGCCCAGGTAACATCAGTATTCACCTGAATGATCTATTGAGCACCCACTCACTTTCTTAACTATCTCAAATCTAGTGAGCCTTACTTCCAATTCTGCTTCAGTCATTCACTCTCATGGCCATACTCTGAAGCTTATCATCACTTGAAATTGTTCCACTGCTGAAATCTTAATTCAGACACTATACTCTTGGACCAGCACTGCACGTTTCTTTCTTACTCTTGCGCTGAGTTATTTTTACCTCACTCATTCTTTTATTTCTGTTGAGAACTCCACTCTCTTAACCACTCTATTTACTTTCCATTTGTGTCCACTTGTCTTTATCTTCTTATATATCCAGAGGTTGAATCCATTCTCAGAACTATCCTTAGTTCCATTGCTGAATTGTTCTTCTGTTATCTATTTGTCAAAAATTCAATTCTAGATCAATCCCTTTCTCTTGCAAAAAAATTTTTTTTGAACTCTGTTATCTGCATTCTCCCTAATTCTCGTATTTGATTCAGAATAATTGGACGCTTAAAGGAGAAGTGACCTCTTTATTGAAGGTTGTGAAAAAAGAAGAAAGTGGAATCAACTTTTTAGATTTCCATTTTCCCACACCAGCTTTCAAGGTAGCATATACTCTCATGATCTGGGAGTTGTTCTGGGGGTAAATATGTGTTAATAGCTCAGAGTGGGCCATTGTGTACCTGTATGATCTCTGAGAATTTTATGAATGTAATGAAAGTAGTAAACTCAACACGGCATCCCCAAACTATGACCAGTCCATCAGAAGAATTTAGGTCTGCACTGATCTCTCTATCCCAAGATTGTAAAATGAAAAATTTACGACTGCAATCTCTTTGGAACAGAGTAACAGAGACTGAAATAATGTTTACCAAACTTTTTAAATATTACTTCAGGAAATATTAGCTAACATTAAGAATCCAAACTTTGTTTTTAGTTACATGAGGTTAGTTTATACTGAACAATACAAACTTACCTCTGATTCATTGTGCATTTTAAAACATACTCAACTTTTAAACAAACATATTTAGAAGGAATATTTGCTGCCCTTTATTAATATTTTGTAGTAATTTTCCCATATACCAGCTAACATCTGATCTTCTTTTTTATTTGCCAAGTTAACTGCAAAGCAAATTTCAGGAATTCTTTACACCTCTCTTTTCTTACCTACATATAAGCTATTGAAACAACAAAAAAGCCTAGTTATGCAAATTAGTACCTCTATCAAGCATTGCTTTAATTTAGTTTCCCAAATGTCAAGAAAATAAGCTAAATGAGATTATTGACACATTAGTATTATTTGACCTTAGTAAGAATTGACCTCTTTCATCAGGATAGGTATAGGCTTTAAAGGTCTGATAATGTTCATTGCACTCCAGCACTAATTTATAATAATTCCCCTTAATGTAAATTCAGAGTAATAGATTATTTCAACTGTAAAGCTTAGAATAAAAAGTGTCAAATTTTCGGTGATAAATAATTATT